TGGAAGGTAACAGTTATTCACAGACGTAAGAAGACAATTTTTGAATAGTTTTGCTGAGGATATAGTCGTACTTTAATCTATTGTTAAACAAAATGTCACTTTGCTGGATGAAGATAAAACAATATAAACAATGTTCGTGAAATTTGCTTTAATTTGAAACAAATCCTGAAAATAAAAACACACATAACTAATTAAAGAACTAAAGAAAAAATACGGCTTGATGATATAATCGTTCAACATCTGTCATTTACATGTTGTATTTCAATGCATGGAGATGAATAAGTTAAGATTGTATGATAAAGTGTTAAAATCTATATGAGAACAGGTTCAACCAAAATGACCCATCAAAAGTAAGACAAAACTAGAAATGTGTCTATAGGAAACAGATGCCCCATTCATCCAATGCTTCTAGATACATTTATATGCCTAGACACTACATTTCTGAAGTGCTGGATTTTTTTCCATGTATCTCTCTTTTATTTTGTTATAAAAATGACAAACCCATTGATAAATAAACACTTCAATAGTTCAGTTGTACAGGCATGAGCTAAAAGAGAGGATAAAACAAAACAAACCAATGGAGAAAGATAAAAGTTAACCAAAGACTACAAGTGTGTAAAAAGAAATTATTAGATAAAATAATGATTTCAAAATATAACTTGTAATAACAGAGAGAAGGTAAAAATAGTAATACAGAATGGTTGATAAAACATGCTGGTCAACATTCAAGTTTTTTTTTACTCTAGCTCCAGCAGTTTTAAATATAAAAGCGACACAAGTTGAAAATTGCAAATTTTGACAAAGTGAGGGGCCATTACTCTAACAATTCCAAATTAATCCACATTTGAAACCCCGGGTGCACAACACCACACGCTGATCAACATTCCTGTGAATGTTCTTGACTTTAGCTTCAATACTTCAGATGCAGGCGACACAATATTTTTGAACGGACGGACAGACAGCTGGACGAACAAGTGCAAATATAAATGCCCCCACTCTGAGAGGCTTAATTAAAGGACGATCAACGAGGTATATGTACAATGTTTGATTTACATCAACATTAAATAAAATCTTTGAACAAAATTGAAAAAAAAATCCATTTTTGAAAAATTAAACAAAGCAGAGTTATGGTTCTCGGTAAATGCAATTCCTCTGAGTGATCTTTACATCTTTTTTCAGTTAAATTAAATTATTTCCCCTTTGCCTCGGAATATGAGTGAAAGATGAATGGACAAGGTGACCAGTATGTACACCCTATCTCTATTAGGAGTATAATATACTTGTCTAAAACGAGTGTCTTTGTCCTTTTCTAAATTCTAATTTTGTAAGTAGTCAATAATTGTTAAAAGATAAGTATCTTTTACAATAGGATGCACTTTTGTACATGCGTCTATAATAAAGTATAATTTCTTACGTATTAAATTATTCATGTGACATAATTAATATAAGTCATATTCAAAATTTCCACTGAAGGTGATTCATATTCTCACACATCACTTTCAACTATTTGAAAATGGAGTTTTCTAATGTCAAAATTGATCTAAATCTATATTTTATTGTGTTGTATCAGTGAACCAATAATAATTACTATTAATTGTCTTGATAAAAGAAGAGTATAATTATATGCCAAACATAATTTTGGTAAAAACACAAGGGCAGATCACTAAGAAAACAATAATCTTCTGACGTCAAATTGAATAAAAAAAAAAATAGAATTAACCTACCTATCAGAGTTACAAAACTTAAAAAAAGTGCATCGTTACATTACATTGATATTTCAAGTTCATGTTGATTTTATCTACCGGTTCCTGAGACGGAATGAGATCGGATAGGACATGCAATAATAAACTTGTAGCAATCTGGAAATAAAGGGATCCCTCGGAAGCATTAATCACAACAAAAGTCACATCAATGTTTTGAGAAAAAAGATGACTTGACCTGCAAAAATTCATTTATAAAGCAGGGTCATTGTAAGTCAACTTGAAAGTATATCCTCAAAGAATGTTATGTCCATGTATATAGACAAAATCATTTATAGATAACTTAGCTATAGCCACTTAGGTACATTTTTTGTGATATTTTCTAACCTATAAAATTCATATAATTGACTAACTAACTGCCATCTGGAGTTATGAAACTTAAAACGTATACGCACACACGCATACGCACGCACACGCACACACAAACAGAGATGCATTGTAATTTTATATTGAAATGCCATTTTTGTCCAGGTATTTATAATTTCCATATTCTAATTACATAGTTTTATTGTCAATCACAGTAAAAATGTGAGAATGTCAAGTCAAAGCTAGTTTGATCTTCATAAATGTTTTGTCCTAAAAGCTGTTGAGTCTAAATATGAACACAGTCAATTTATAAACTGGAGCTGCCACAGGAGTGACGAATACCCATCCCCATATGATCTTTTTGACACAGCCTATTTGGTTGAATAATTTATAAATATTTTTAAATGAAATCATTTACTTCGAAGGTGACCTTAATTTTGTACAGAAATTGCATTGGTTCTGCACATTACCTTATTAACGTAAATATTAAAATCATGTAAAAATATTCTTCAGTATAAAAGGATTTCTACAGTATTTGTCTGATAATTAAACTTTGCGTTAACATTGAGCATGCAAGGCCGTGATATAGGTTCTACCCATTGCATACATATGTACGATCCAAATTTTATGGAAACCCATGATTGGGCAAAATATTTTCAGAGCAAACACAAAATTGGATGATATTTGACCTTTGACAATTAAGAGTGACCTTGACCCAAAGTCAGCACAAAGTGGTATGTGTTTTGTATAACATCTTATCAATTTGAGCATTAATGTCAAGGTTGAAGAAAATTTTCGTATTGTAAAAGAAGTTCTGAAGAGCATTAAACTTGTTTGATCTCAAATTGTAAACTTGACGTTGAACCAGCTGAGTGGTGACATAAGTTCTCCTCGCTGCATTGGTCACGTCATGTCCTTATCAGTGACACAGTGACATTATAAGTTCCTCGATCACTCATTATTGTTTGAACGATCCCGCATAAGCTGGTTATGGTGTCCAAGTAGCATTTTGCAATAACCTGTGGATCATTATTACTGGTTGCAACTTCAAGACATAGAGTTCAACGGCTGTATTTTTCTACGGCCCCATGAATTAAGGTTTTTATCGTATCCACCGATGTGACATACGCAGTTTGGATCCGGACACGAATACTTTCTCCGCAGTTGCCGCTTCCGTTTTCTTCTTTCCATTTTATCTTGATCTGCCTTCCGCATGAATCTTATCACTGTTGAACGATGTACATTGCTTTAAAACCAAAACATTTACCACCCCAGATAGTTCTGCAAGAATGCACGAAAAAATATCTTCATTATTCGATTCTACTGTTCGACTATGAAAAATTAGTTTCGTTATGATGACTTTTAAAGTGACGATAACTAACTTTTATTCCATGAATCAACAGAAGACTAGCTAATACCTCTTTGTATCTATATCCCACCGAGAAATATGAACTATCAAATCCATCATCGTTTCTTTATTTACAGACGTTCTTCTATTGCCGATGCAGTCAACGCGATAGAAATAATGATGAAAGATAACACCAGCATCTGTAATTAGATGAAAAAAATACAATTACCTTCTATATTATATCTTGTACACGCAAATGCAATTCTGACAAACAGGTGCGGAGATTGAACTCTGATGTATATTTTAAAGAGTATTTTAAAATAAAAACTTTTGGTTCAGACCCCGGGGTCCAATTCAGGATAAAGCTAGATTTATGTGTTCTAGATCCCCATATATTTTCTTTTTAAACCAACTAATATAAATAATTTTCCTATTAATACTTTTAACCGATTTATAATGAAAATAATGATATATTTAAAACTTATAAAAGTAAAAGATCACTGACCATTTTTTCACGCAACTTCTTAGCTATCCAATATGGCAACAAATGACGTCACGATCACGTGGCATATACCTTGAAGTTAAAATCGTGAATTCATGAAGCTGAAATCGTGAATTCATGAAGTTGAAATCGTGAATTCATGAAGTTGAAATCGTGAATTCATGAAGTTAAAATCGTGAATTCATGAAGTTGAAATCGTGAATTCACGAAAATGAATTCGTGAAGTTGAAATCGTGAATTCATGAAGTTGAAATCGTGAATTCGTGAAGTTGAAATCGTGAATTCGTGAAGTTGAAATCGTGAATTCATGAAGTTGAAATCGTGAATTCATGAAGTTGCAATCGTGAATTCATGAAGTTGAAATCGTGAATTCATGAAGTTTGAATCGTGAATTCGTCAATTCCGTATGATGAAAACGTGAATTAACGAAGTTAAATATGTGAATTCATGAAAATGAAATCGGGAATTCGTGAAGTCGAAATGGCACTACCGGTCTTTCGTACGTGCGTGCGAAACATACTGACATTGTTTTACTCGATTTCCTGTTTTGTTTACGGTTGAAGACGAAAAAAGGTCTTTTGTAGAGAAAATATATACATCTATAAAAAAAACCATTTAACACTTAAACTGAAATTTATATAAAGTTGTGTTGTTTGTTTTGCTTTGTTGTTTAGATCTTATTATTTTATTAAAAATGTAAAAAACGTTAGACAAACAATGGTCAATATTGACCTTCTGACAATCATAAACGATGTAAAATAGACAAGTTTATGTTGCACTTTGTAAAACTAGCTTTCAAATTCATATGCTTACTAGATGAGATAAAACTTTGCAGCTAAATAAGGTTTTCATATTTGAATAAAATCAGAACCCTAATTCGGTCGAAATTTGATATTAGCTCATATGGTAAGTTTTGCGACGACTTCACGCTAGCCCTATTTGCTTTTAATAAAATATACTCACACATTTCTTTCATACTATGTATTCCGTATTCAATTTAATATCAAATAGATAATAATTTTAAAATCCGCACTCTTAATACAATATAATGGTGTGCAACCTACAAAGTACGTTGAAGTAACATTATATTTAGTATTGTGTAACCCAAATCGTATCCGTATGCAAAATGGCGGTATTAGTACAACGCAATTTTGAAATGAAAATAAAGCCGGAATATACATCTGTTAGTGACTTTTAATCGACGTTAATTATTTAACCAGTTTCAGGTAAAATCTAACTTATTTCGTTTTATGCTTTCGGCAATTACTTTTATCATTTGTTTAAAATGTTTCAACAATTGATTACAGATGATATAAACCCGGAAGAAACTTTGTCTGTCTGTTATGCGCGGATATGACTTTAAATACCGGATATGACATATGTTTTACAAAGTAATTATTTTTTTTATAATTTTTTCTTGATACAATGTTTTATAATAATAAAATGATTTTACATGCAAAATTTCGTTAAATTTGGTCCATAAATAAAAAAAGTTAAAAGTCATATTCGAATTACGTTCTATAAAAGTCATATCCGTGGCGGACAGGAGATACCGAATATGACTTATATTTTATAAATTGATCATTTTTTTGTTAACTTTTCTCGATATGATGTTTTATTATAATAAAATGATATTACATGCAAAATAGCGTTAAATTTGGTCCATAAATAACTAGAACTGCCACTATCATGGCGTGAATACCCCCGCATACCACTTTGTCAGAATCAACAGTGGCCATTTAGAGCTCAAGGACAACCTCCCTGCCAAATCTGGGGTTACTAAGCCAGTGCATTGCTAAGTTATGTATTCCACATGCTTCAAATGTGAAAATGTCAAAATCAATACATTGCGGACAGGACATTCTTTAGCTATTGAGAAGAAAAGCTTTTTTTGTCAAGGTCCCTGTGACCTTGACTTTTGACCCAGTGACCTCAAAATAAATAGGGGTCACCTTATAGTCATGATCAACATCCATGCCAAATATGAAGACTGTGGGTCAAAGGAATCTTAAGTTAATGGGTGGACAAACTTTTTGAAGTCAAAGTCCCTATGACCTTGACCTTTGATCCAGTGACCTCAAAATCAAAAGGGGTCATCTACTAATCATGACTAACCTCCATTCCAAATATGAAGACTGTGGGTCATAGGAATCTTGAGTTATTGGGCGGACAAGCTTTTGAAGTCAAGGCCCCTGTGACCTTGACCTTTGACCTGGTGACCTCAAAATCAATAGGGGTCGTCTACTAATCATGACTAAGCTCCATGCCAAATATGAAGACTGTGGGTCAAAGGAATTTTAAGTTATTGGGCGGACAAGCTTTTTGAAGTCAAGACCCCTGTGACCTTGACCTTTGACCTGGTGACCTCAAAGTCAATAGGGGTCATCTACTTATCATGAGTAGTCTCCATGCCAAATATGAAGACTGTGGATCAAAGGAATCTTAAGTTATTGGTCGGACAAGCTTTTTGAAGTCAAGGCCCCTGTGACCTTGACCTTTGACCTGGTGACCTCAAAGTCAATAGGGGTCATCTACTTATCATGAGTAGTCTCCATGCCAAATATGAAGACTATGGGTCAAGGGAATCTTAAGTTATTGGGCGGACAAGCTTTTTGAAGTCAAGGCCCCTGTGACCTTGACCTTTGACCTGGTGACCTCAAAATCAATAGGGGTCATCTACTAATCACGACTTACCTCCATGCCAAATATGAAGACTGTGGGTCAAAGGAATCTTAAGTTATTGGGCGGACAAGCTTTTTGAAGTCAAGGCCCCTGTGACCTTGACCTTTGACCTGGTGACCTCAAAATCAATAGGGGTCATCTACTAATCATGACTAACCTCCATGCCAAATATGACGGCTGTAGATCAAAGGAATCTTAAGTTATTGGGCGGACAAGCTTTTTGAAGTCAAGGCCCCTGTGACCTTGACCTTTGACCTAGTGACCTCAAAATCAATAATGGTCATCTACTAATCATGAATAACCTCCATGCCAAATATGAAGACTAAGGGTCAAAGGAATCTTAAGTTATTGGTCGGACAAGAAAAAACCGACGGACGGCCGGACAGCCGGACGGACGGACGGACAAGCTGATTCCAGTATACCCCCCTTACAACTTTGTTGTGCGGGGGTATAAAAAAGTTATAAGTTATATTCGAGTTACGTTCTGTAAAAGTCATATCCGTAGCGGACAGAAGATATATGACTTATATTTTATAAATTGATTATTTTTTATGAATTTTTCTCGATACAATGTTTTATAATAATATAATTATTTTACATGCAAAATATCGTTAATTTTGGTCAATATATAAAAAAGTTATAAGTTATATTCGTTGCGTTTTCTATTAAAGTCATATCCGTGAAGGACAGAAGATACCGAATATGACTTATATTTTATAAATTGATTTTTTTTATGAATTTTTCTCGATACGATGTTTTATAATAATATAATTATTTTACATGCAAAATATCGTTATTTTGGTCAATAAATAAAAAAAGTTATAAGTTATATTCGTTGCGTTTTCTATAAAAGTCATATCCGTGAAGGACAGAAGATACCGAATATGATTTATATTTTATAAATTGATTATTTTTTTATTAACTTTTCTCGATATGATGTTTTATTATAATAAAATGGGTCAAAGACAGAAAAGGCCAGGTTGCATTTGTACACCAAATATCATGAGGCTGTGATGTTACGAAAATTTTTTTCCATTGACCCATTAATGTCGAAAATTTAATTCAGTAGGTAAACAGGAAGTGGATTAGCTACACACCTAAAATCGAATCCCACAGTATGGGACCATGTGTCAATGCTGTATGCCAAATATCAAGAGGCTGTGATTATTAGTTTCTGAGAAAAATGTTACGAAAAGTTCCTACCATTGACCATTAATGTGAACAGGAAGTGGATGAGCTGCAGACTTGAAATCGAATCCCACAGTATGGGACCATGTGTCAATACTGCATGCCAAATATCAAGAGGCTGTGATAAGTAGATGCTGAGAAAACTGTTACGAAAATTTCCTACCATTGACCATTAATGTCAAAAAATCAAACTAATTTAACTAAGTGGATAAACAGGAAGTGGATGAGCGACAGACTTGAAATCGAATCCCACAGTATGGGACCATGTGTCAATGCTGCATGCAAAATATCAAGAGGCTGTGATAAGTAGTTGCTGAGAAAACTGTTACAAAAATTTCCTACTATTGACCATTAATGTCAAAAAATCTAACTAATTTAACTAAGTGGATAAACAGGAAGTGGATAGGCGACAGACCTGAAATCAAATCCCACAGTATGGGACCATGTGTCAATGCTGCATGTCAAATATCAAGAGGCTGTGATAAGTAGTTGCTGAGAAAACTGTTACGAAAATGTCCTACCATTGACCATTAATGTCAAAAAATCTAACTAATTTAACTAAGTGGATAAACAGGAAGTGGATGAGCGACAGACTTGAAATCGAATCCCACAGTATGGGACCATGTGTCAATGCTGCATGCCAAATATCAAGAGACTGTGATAAGTAGTTGCTGAGAAAACTGTTACGAAAATTTCCTACCATTGACCATTAATGTCAAACAAGAGCCCGGTTTGAGCCGGGTGATGCTCCCCGAATAGGTTTTGGACACAGGAAAGTACACCTCTTGTAGTTTCAGAGTTATGTCCCTGGAAAAAGTTCAAAGTGCAATAATTCCAAAATTAGGAAAGGCAGAGTTACTGTTCTTTCCACTGCACTTCTAATCACTGTTATCTATCAACTTACAAAGTTTCTTGTTAATATCTCTTATGGTTTCCTAGTTATGTTCCGGACAAATTCAAAAAATAAAAATAAACAAATGGCAATAACTCCAGAATTAGGCAAGGCAGAGTTATGATTCTCGTGCACTGCACATCTACCCATTGAGATACATCTACCTACAAAGTTTCATGTTGATATCTCTTATAGTTTTACAGCTATGTCCAGTACAAGATTTTTCTAAATGGGGAGATAATTAAAAAATAAGGCTTAACAGAGTAAAGGTTTTTTTTGCACTGCACTTCTACTCAATGAGATCTATCTACCTAAAATGTTTCATCTTGATATCTCTTATAATTTTAGAGTTATGTTCCGGACAAAGTTCAGTGTTAAAAATAACAAAGGGCAATAACTCCAAAATTAGGACAAAATGAGTAATTGTTCTTATGCACTGCACATCAACCCATTGAGACTTATTCACCTACAAAGTTTCATGTTGATATCTCTTATAGTTTTAGAGTTATGCCCCGGACAAGATTTTTCTATAAGGGGAGATAATTCAAAAATGAGGCTTAACAGAGTTATGGTTCTTTTGCACTGCACTTCTACTCAATGAGATCTATCTACCTACAATGTTTCATCTTGATATGTCTTATAGTTTTAGAGTTATGGTCCGGACAAAGTTCAAAATGTTGAAATTAACAAAGGGCAATAACTCCAAAATTAGGACAAAAAGAGTTATTGGTCTTATGCACTGCACATCTACCCATTGAGATCTATTCACCTACAAATTTTCATGTTGATATCTCTCATAGTTTTAGAGTTATGCCCCGGACAAGATTTTTCTATAAGGGGAGATAATTCAAAAACCGGGCAAAATAGAGTTATGGTTCTTTGACACTGCACCCCCCTCAATGCCCTCTACCACTGAAGTTTACCATATGAAGTTTAAACAATTTATCTCCAAGGGTTTTCAAGTTATGCTCCGGACAAGAAAACGGACGGACAGACGGACGGACGGACAGACGGACAGACGGACAAGGCGCCGACTATATGCTCCCCCGAAATTTTTCGGGGAGCATAAAAATCTAACTAATTTAACTAAGTGGATAAACAGGAAGTGGATGAGCGACAGACCTGAAATCAAATCCCACAGTATGGGACCATGTGTCAATGCTGTATGCCAAATATCAAGAGACTGTGATAAGTAGTTGCTGAGAAAACTGTTACGAAAGTTTTTTTCCCCGCCCGCCGCCCGCCCGGACGCCCGCCCGCCGCCCAACATTCACCATACTATAACCCGGGTTTGCACCAGTGCAACCCGGCCAAAAATGATTTTACATGCAAAATATCGTTAAATTTGGTTCATAAATAAAAAAAGTTTAAAGTTATATTCGAGTTCCGTTCTGTATAAGTCAAATCCGTAGCGGACAGAAGATACCGAATATGACTTATAATTTTTGAATTGACAATTTATATAACTTATAACTTTTTTATTTAAGGACCAAATTAAACGATATTTTGCATGTAAAATCATTGTATCGTCATATAACATCGTATCAAGAAAAAATCATGAAACAAAAATCAATTTATAAAATCATAAGGTCATATTCGGTATCTTCAGTCCACTACGGATATGACTTTTATACAGAACGTGCAATATATGTAACTTACAAAGTCATCTTCGGTATCTTCTTTCCACTACGGATATGACTTTTATTTAGAACATGCAACGAATATGACATTTAACATTTTATTTATGTACCAAATTTAACCAATTTTTGGCATGTAATTTCATTTTGTTAGAAGAAGAAAAAAACAGAAACTTAAAATATATACACATATTGATTACTTTAAAAACACATATTAAAAGGGCTGCTTTTGAAATAGATGAGAGATGTTAAATCCAGTTTACTATAATAAATGAAATAAAACGAAATTAAATCGTAAAATTATACATATTTAACTATTGAAATTCAACATATTGGTGTAGTCAGAATATATCGAAAATCAAATTGATCGTTCTTAACTGCGTTTATCTTTTGTTATAATTCAAATAATTTCGATGAAGTACAAATGCGGTCTAAATGTAAAAAAACAATCGATTGTTCATTATTTATCTTTATATTATCATATGGAAGGACGTTTACTTTCTAAACAGAAATTGTAGGCATTCGGCCTTGAAAAGGCAATTTCTGTTTGTCCAAAATGATACAATTAGATTGAAAATTCTAAAATTGTTCAAATTAAAACCATCTGAAATACTACAAAATAGGCATTTACAGTATTTGTAGTAGTGTTTAACCACAATAATGAGACAATGTGCAAAGAGCAATAATTGAATTGCTACACCCAAGGTCAAAGTCACACTTACAGGTCAAATGTTAGAAGTCTGCATTTCGTGTCTGTTCATAACATGTAAACCGCTGCAATGTTTTTAAGATAACTTGGCAGAAATGATCACCATTATGATACCAATGGCAGAGCTTAATAATCAAGTCACAACTCTGTAGGTCAAAGTCACACTCAACTGTCCAATGTAAATAAATAAGTATTTTTCATGTCCGCTCTATAACTTAACTTATTGACTATTCAAATGTTTTAAAATTACTTGGCACAAATGATCACCACCATGATACAATCTGCAGAGTTCAACATCCAGGTTACTACCCTCAAGGTCAATGTTATATGTTCTCCATAATGTTTGTTTACTTTACGGAAGATTTTAAATAACATGGCACAAATAATCACCATCATGAGACTATGCGCAAATGATATGCATGGCATAACATCAAGGTCGTGACTGGTAAAAGGTTAAAGTACACATTCATGTTCACTGCGGACGGGGATTTAGATGTCCTTCAGACTGCCTTGTTTAAGTCACATGACAAAGGAATATATTTAAATTTGAATTCCTTATTATGTATAAAGTTTATTGGAAGTCTTAAATTGGAATTAAACGTCCATTTCACTTGCGTCACGTCATAAAGTCTGTAGATGTATACATCATTTAAATATATATGTCGTTTATTCATTCACTTATCCTATGAAGTTGAAACAACTGGTATGATGGCTTCAGTAATCTTTTAACACAAATTTAACAAAAAGTGATTTAAATTCAATTTTCCTCTTATTCAAATAATTATGGGTATGATAAATATTATTGAACATTAGTTATACATTGTTGTTAAAATTTCAGATCTGGATCAAAATGTCAACTACCGGTACTGAACGACATTGTAGGCTTTGTCTCATGCTTAATCAAGGAGGGCCACAAGCATGTCATCATCTGCTTTTAAAGCGTGTCAAAGAACTTAGTCCAAAAGATCATGATCCATATCCATGGACTATTCAGCAATTTTTGGACACAAAAAAGCAAACAATAATAAAATCAAAGCTGTCTAAGGACAAGTTCAAAATCTTGTTTCCAAACGACGGTGACACCGTACTTACAAATTGGGATTTAGCACTTTATTGCACAGTTTTAACATTATACTGTGATCTTAAGCCTATTATTCGGTTAGATGTTGAGCAACTACGAAATCTACGGAATGAGCTTTGCCACATGAACGAACCAAACATATCTGTTTCTGATTATAAAGACAAACTTGAAATGATTCAAGTCATAATTTGTCGACTGGTGAAAAAAATAGATGAGCATAATGTGAAGATCGAGATAGAAAATGTCATCAAAAGTCTAGAAAGTGCAACTCTTTCACTTGATGAAACGCTTAAAGAAATGCATGCTTTCTATATGATGGAAATGGATATTCGTGAAAAACTTGACCATGGTATGTTACGAATGTATTTCATGCTACAAATACTGATTCTGCAATTTGATATATTACATATTGTTCTTCGGGATAAAGCTTATGCGGTGCCTTGTCGATGTGTCATGAATTTCTTTACACAACTATACGAACTTTTGGGTTCGAATAGATTCTTATTTTTCAGTAATATCATCTATCCCATTGTTTTAAATTCATGTTTTATTATTCTACAGTTGAGGAAAGAATTTTACAAAGGCTTGAACAATTTGATGATAAGTGGGAATTTATCAGTAAGGTACTTGGCGAAAAAGAGGATTCAAGAATCAATACAGCTACGAACAATGGTCTAGTTCCTGGTAAATGCTTCCATTTTTTCCCTTGTCTCTATGTGAGCACATAAGCATTTTTAAACATAAAAGTAACATATTATTAAGCGGTTTTAAATGTTATATATGCAAATATTTTTGATAACAGAATCTATCTTAATTAACCCCTCTAATACTTTTGACTATTAGCTTAAAATGTATCTTTATTTGTATTGACATCTACATACAAATAATTTTATTGTAATTTTTTCTTACCATAAATATTCTTATACAGTATTTTTCCTTTCAGGCGTTAACATTTTTCTTGATCTTAAAAATGTCAATGATGAAGAAGAAGAAAATATGTCAGATGTTTTACAACAGCTGTTTGATGAGGTCATACATGAGGACAAGGATTTCAAATCTAGCATACCTGCAGATTCATATGTAAGACTGAGGGGGGCAATCGAGAAAACATTTAAAAGATTTCTTTCGAAAGGCTGGAGAATTACACGCGTTAAACACGAATGCATACAACTACATATTGAGTGTACCAATTTTACAGCGCTAGCTGCTTTGTTTAGAGAACAAACACAGGGACTCATAGACCAGCAACTGACAGAATTAAACGAGGCATTAACCGAGTGCGTGTCTGAGAAAATGCTGCTCTTAGAAACTACCATTTATACAGACGAATTATGGAATGTAATAGATAAAGCAAGTAAGATGGTTGTTCATGCAAATTGTAACTATCGATCTCTTTGCTTATGTTACTTATAAAGTGAAAGTGTGGTATACTATTAAATTAACTATCAAGGAACTGACAATGCATTAATGGTTTGAGAGCCACCAATTATCCATATTCTTGCGACTTAAACACAAATATGAAAGAAAAATATCTTATCCCGTTTATACATGAGGAAAGTGTTATAATATCACATTCATCAGTCATGGCGTTGAACTTCTATGACTATTGTATGAAAAAGAAATAATGAAATACATCTTGATTAACTATTAGAAAAAATAGTGTTGCTGTTGTGGACATCAGTTTCAATTAAAATAATGTTTTGTAGGAGCAGCTTTCTTTTTATATATTTTATATATTTCAGTCTCATGTGTCGAAGGTGTTTTAAAAGAACACAATATCGACATGGCGACCCAAAGTGACAACGCACAACTTCTCGGTGATGATATCAGAAAGCATTCATTATCATTATCAGCTGAAAAAGTTGGGTCGGATGGTAGCGGGTCATTCGAGGGAGACTGTAACTATAAGCTAGAAACTTTTCTACAGTTACTGAAAGCAGAACTGAAATCAGAATTCCACACTCCGAATCTATTAATCCAAGCAAATTGCTCGACAAACGTGAATCACGAATCTAACGGTTAGCTTTCATTTATTATTATGATATTATTTTTAACACATTGTATTTTTAAACTGATTCTTATGCGTTTGACAGGTGACAGTTCAATATAATGGAATCTATAGCAAAAATAATAATTAAAGTACGATTGACACAATCTATTCTTCTTGAAATGACTTATGATAAATTTTCAATTGACTTTTTATCTTGTCGATTTTGAAACAAATAGATTCAAGCATCGGCAACAAAGTTGAATTACCGGAAGAAAATACGCAAACAATAAGAAGTGATCATCAGAGTCCGAAATTCGATAAAAAAAGAAAAGGAACATATTAAATCTTTTCAAGACGAAGAAGTCGAATATGTCGAGAGAGTCTTTAAAGAGTTATCATTGAAAGATATAGAGCAACAGCAGATGGGGACACTTGTTAAACAAGAAGAACACAGCAGTGGGGAAAAGATAGAAATTGCAGGTCAAGTAAGAAAGGATATTTCAACGGCAATATCCTCGGCGAGTACAGCAACTGATTTGAAGGAAGTAAGTATAGATTTTGTATGAAGGAAATCTCAAATTATGTTTCAAATATGAAAATGCCATTTCAGTTGAAAACATCTACTTAACTTTAAATTATATGCATAAAATCGATACCAAGTTTGTATTATATCATTTAAGAAAATGCTATTTTTCGTGTCTGATATCTATTAATTTTGCTAAATCAATACAATTATTTCGGAAACAAATCATTTGGTAATTGTGATTCAATTCCTATTTAACTTAGCCATATATTGACTTTTTACAAATATCATCAAATGTATCAGAATGATATTTTCATCAAAACATCGAGGGCAAATCCCAGAAAGATACGTGTTTATTGTTTTTTTTGGTTAATTCTATCATATTTTCTATTACTTACGTAAAATACTGTGATTATCTTTAAATACATCAATAACTCTTGACCAATATTTGTTTGTTTATTGAATCAGGTGGAAACAGAAGGTGCCTTACACAAGAATACGTTACATGCAATCTTGAATTCGTTAAATGCTATATCAGTTTACCTTGAACTGGCCAGTCTTACGTTGATTGAAAGGGATCCCTCATTATTGGTAACAATACTTAACATTTTCTTACCACTTATATGATTAAGTATTAATCCTTTTTAAATGTTTATTTATGAAACACATTTGATTTCAATTTAAAGTAATTGACTTTGAAAGAAATCTACAAGGAGTGTTCGAAAATAATAACTTGCTTATGAAATAGGATGTTTAAAATTTAAGTAATCACTAGTTTTGCAATTATATTTAAGTACTCCATTTTCCTAGAAATTTTCGTTGACGGGTATGCGTCATGGTACACTGAGTTTGTTAATATTTTAATGTACGAAAGCATAATGGCAGATAGTTTAAGCGTCAGACTTTGACAGCATCTAAGTCCCACGAAGAAGTTTTTAATTTTTGAAAGTCATTTTACAAAACGCTAAGTTACGAGCCTGAGCATTAGAATGTCAAAGACGTTTATATTTCAGTCTTGTTTTAATAGTGGTTTACAATACTACATCCTTATATTTGTTCCATGAACTTTTGACTTTTTCACTGGTAACTGAATTTCAACACCTTCTTTCGAGTAGAAAATTTCATAAAAAAATGCACTCAACGAGCGTTTAGCAATTGCTGGCTTGTAGCTCGTATCTTAATATCAATATTTCGTACAAGTTCAAATAGTACATAAAAGAATTATCATCACCAGATACTGCGCTAGCAAATTTTTGTATCATATTTGGAAATATTTTGAGCAATTGTTTTTATTTTTTAATACTTTGCTGCTTATGATCGTCATTCAACATGTGAGGCAATCATCTAACAGAATTTCTTCTGATTAAGATATTTGTAAGAATTTAACGAAAACTTGATCGCGAAATACTAACTATTCATGCAATGTCGCAAACAGTACATCAAACATATTTTTCTCTTTTTATATATATTTTCTTCACCAGACGCACACATTAGTATTCCCGATTTCAGTGCATTCACCAAGAATCAAATATCGTTTTCCATCTGCTAACTGTTGTGTAAATATCAGATTCTTCAGCAAATCTATATTTCCTACAAAGAATAAACAAGCTTAGAACAAGCGTTTAAAAAGCCAATATTTCTCCTCTCTTATCAATGTTTTAACCAATCATTTTTACTATGGTATTTAAAGAGTGCGAAGCATATTTTTTCACTACATAAAGCTACATATAAACACCATTATGAAGGTATTGAGCAGCTCTATCAGTTTTGCACTGATGTGTTGCCATTTTCTCGAGGATTTTGTGCAACAGACCTGTAAGCAATTATTTTTGATCACTCCTTGTAGTACATGTAGTAAGCTAAGCATTTTACTACTTTAACTGATTATTTGAAGATGCAAAATGATTAACTCCTAATCATCGCTAAAAGTAAGAAAATAAATATATGGCATTGATGGCATTTAGTCTGTATACATCAATGTTTTGAAAGCTATATTGATTTTGTTCTATTATCAAAGCATCACGGTAAGAAGTGGAGTACATGTGCATACAGAAGAATGTATAATATATTCATGTTTGAATAAATAAATGTTCTTTGTCGTTTCAAATTTAATATACCTACTATTGAAAAACTTTCTGACATTTATCATGGCAATTAATTTTCATCAACAAATTACGTATACATGTGTATATTTCTTTCACCTGTCTTTTTCGAACACTTAAGTGATTATTTTGTATGATAAAAACATAACACACTAAATTTTGGTTATGTGGAACATATTTAAGGACGTGTAAACGACTCAGTTCATCTAATAGTTGTGTTCTATTTATCTAGAAAACATAACATGCTAATGATATTGAAAAATTGCATGATAATGATTAAATGAAATAATGTAAAACAAAAACAAAAACAACTATATGAATAACATGATATGAACAAATAATATATCATTTAGGACAACATATATATGGTAATATCAGAAGTACGAATCCTTGTTGGTGCCATTTTTTGGACAATTGTAGACTATGCATATTACATGGAAGACAGTTTGCATCATTTGGCGTTACACAGATTAGTAAGGGCACGTTTTATCTTATTGTTGTCTTCTACTTTACATAATAATCACTTCGTAATTTAAATAAAGCACAGAATAGTCTAATGTTAGTTTTATGTACGAAATTGTGTTTTTCATTTGCAAGAGAATACATACTAGGTATAATAATATTTTTGTTAAACTGGATAGATATTCTTTTTAGCATTGACAAGGTCAGTGAAAGAAATTCGATTGTGCAAGTTGTAATACCCAAAACAAACACTGTTGTAATTTGTGCTTGTATGACACACATGACAAATAACATGTGAATATTTATTCAATTTAAAAACGTTACTCACGGCTATCTCAAATTCCTGTCCACAAATAATATCTTCGAAACATTTAAGTTCAGTTTGGATGTGCAATGATGAGCCATTATCAGCAAATACACACTGATGACAATATTATGGCAAATTGCTGATTTGATTGCGTTATAAAACGGAATGCGATGAATAGCAACATCATATGTTTTTACCTTTTAATTAAATAAAAGAGTTTTACAAGTTTCATGGCCTATTCAAATTTTAATCATATGTAAATTCAATCAATTTGATAATCAGTATATTGACTTTTCTACACATAAAATAGATAATCACAAACACTTTCAAAAGATTATCTGATGCAGAATATCAAATCGTCATAATCAGTTTTGATGTCAATCATTCCATAATAGCCTGGCACGGAACAGTGTTGTGAATAATTTAAAAGCCTGGTAGGTTTTGTCTATCCAATCTCAAGGTCAAAGGAAGATAAACACTAAAGTTAAAAAATGTGTCACTGCTATAAATCAGTATTTATATTTTTTCGACAGAGAAAAGGGTTAAACTTGCCTTAACAATCTAACATAAGATACGAAGATTTTTTAAAAAAGTATCTAGTTTAGAATTATTGAAACTGATTGGTTGTAACCGTAGCATAGTTCATTAACAATAATATCAAAAGACAAGTAGCAACTTCTAGTTTTGTGCTCCAACATTTAAATATACAAGGACAAAGTTTAAAATAAGACCTATCCGCGACAAGCGCATTCCAAATTTTTAAATGCTGGATAGTCGAAAAAAACATTCATCACAGAAAAGGGCATCAATCTGCAAACATGCTTTTCAAGAAAAAATACATTCACCTAATAGTCAACAAGTATTTCAAGTTTGAAGTGAATACCTTAATTTTTTTAGTCAAAGGCAAATAGTCCAAGTATTAAAAGGGGAATAATTCAGCAAAACTGGCTTTTAGGATTATCTTCTACTTAAAATGCATTTTAATTTGGTAGTGAACAAATCTTCAAAGTGTAATGGTAATATCTTATACTGTTTGAAGAATTTACCTTAACAAATAAGTATACCAAGATTTCAAAGTCCAAAAGGGTACATATTTGACTAAAACATTGTCTTTAGAAAAGTATGCCAAGTAAACAATGAACAAGTTTTTAAGTTTGAAGTAATTAACCTTTACATTGTTTGGTAAATTGAGTCTAGAAACAAATTAGTAAAGAAAGGGCCATAACTTTGCAAGATATTTCTTTTTATTATCTGCACTTTTGGAATGATGCCATATTTTGAATGTAAAAAAGTGTATCAAGTTTGAGTTGAATGACTATGATTGCTTCTAAGAAATGCATCTAAACAAAAAAGTTAATCCAGGGCTAAAAATCTAAGTTGAAAAAAATGCATAACTTTAAATTGCATAACATAATTTAAGAATTATGTAACTATTTGAAATGGCGTCGTTGTGTTAAAATAAATAAATATGTTTTCCAAATTTGAAATGAATAGTTTTATACATTCTGAGGAAACGGACTTTTACCTTAGTTAACCAAAGCGGCTAGACAATATCTCCAATGGTTTTTGGTTTCAAAAACTTTAGTTAAAAACGTTTGAATTGCATATTTTTGCATTTCTGAATTTGTTTGTCGATAAAGTTAAATCCGAAATTAAAATCCATTATAATCCGCAGACAAGCTATTAGGTTTTGTCCTTCAACCTTTTTTTCTGGTGTTCGCTAAAATGTTTTTGCTATCGTATACTTTAAGTTTAAATTACTTTTAAGACTGACCAAATATGTAATTTTTAATCTTTAAGTTTTATTGATAATTTAGTCAATACTTTTGCACATGACTTATATTGGTACAAAGGAATAAAGCTAACTTATTTTGCTTTCTTAAGATCTATCACTTGTGTTACACATTATATTTTCAAATTGTTTATGCAACTGTCATTTAAAACACGGGCAACATTGTCGCAAAATACGCCCGTCACAAAAGCTTTTGACAGAAATGTGGGCATTATAGCTATGCGTATAGGAGATATGCTCTAGGCAATTTCCGGATAATATCTGGATATTTCATCATCTTTAGTGACAATGACCTTGCAAATATTAACCTAAATTACTTGATCACATATGTAGTCATGATAGTTATCATTGTGTTGAATCCATCAATAAATGATCACAATGCTTTGACCTCTCTATGTGATCTTGACTTTGGTAGCAGGAACCTAGACTCACAATGGTGAACTTTTGTGCCAAGTAACAATGAAATATCCCGATGAATGTAGAAGTTCGGCTCCTTACAAGCATATTTCAATGAACTACAACTGTGACCTTAACTTTTTACCTAGATACCTGGTTTATGCACGTGACACTGCTTCCAATAGTGGTGAACATTTCTATAAAGTTTCATTAAAATCCAACTATGCGTAAAGGAGATATGCTCTGGACAAAATTTGTATATTTAATCATCTTCAGTGACCTTGATCTTGCATATATATTCACCTAAGTAACATGTTTTACACCAAGAGTTAAAATAATGAACATTTGTGTTTCAATCCTTTAATAAATGAATACTAAAAGATCCGAATACACATTTTCATAGTTTTATTTGAACGTTGACCCCTTGCGTGACATTGACCTTGGCCCTAGTAATTTTTACATTTTGTAAGCAACACCCTGCTTCGCAATGGTGATTATTTGTGCTAAGTTATATTGAAATCCCTTTATGCCTGTAGACGTTTTGCTCCGACCAAGTGTTTTTCAATGACCTTTTAGTGTGACCTTGACCTTAGACTTAGAAACCTTATTCATGCGCATGACACTGCATCTGATAGTGGTGTATATTTGTATGAAACCCGCTATATGGGTATGAGACAATAGCTCTGGACAATATCTCTATATTTAATTCCCATTGTTGACCTTGACTAGCATCTTTAGTGACCTTCACCTTGCATATATTAACATAAATCACATTTTTTTCACCAGTAATCATGAGAAAGAACATTAGTGTTTCAATCCTTCAATAAATGATGACTAAATGTTCCGAATACACATTTTCATATTTTTCACCTGAACTTTGACCCCTATTTATATATTATTGACCTTGACCTTAGCCGCAGGGACTTAAACTATGGACGTGAAACTCCGCCTTACAATAGTGAACATTTGTGCCATGTCAAAATGAAATCTCTCTATGCATGTAGAAGTTTTGCTCCGGAGAAGCGTTTTTTAATGACCTCTAAATGTGGCGTTGACTTTTGACCCAGAGACCTGATTCATGCGCGCGACACGGCTTCGTATTGTGGTGACCATTTCTATGAAGTTTCATTAAAATTTCTTAATGCGTGTAGGAGATATGCTCCGGACAAAAATTGAACAATGCCTGCCCGCCTATCTGCCGACCCGGCCACCCGCCCGCCAGGGGGAAAAACTATAATTTAACCCGTTTTCAAACGGGATTATGAAAAATGTTAGGAATTCTGTAGTGATCCAATAGGTTTGTTGGTAAGATCTTTTATTTATGTAAATATGTATATCTCACATTATTTTGTACCAAGTAAATCCAAGTCAGACATGTTATCCTTCTTCTGACTAGTCACAAAACGGCATCGGACATACAAAAACAAATAAAGTGCGCTTTTAAATATTAGGTCTTTATGTGTCCTATATCCTAAGACAAACCGGCATTATTTTAAGCATTTTCTAAGAGACCCAATTTCCAAATATAGTCTCTTAGTCTAAGGGGTAATAAATTGGGGTATTTCAACCTCATGGAAATGATTTAAGTGATTTGTAAAATAGACGCATCAGTACACGTGATTTCAGAATTTACGTCCTTCACAAGGAGCTAAGGAAAGAAAAACTTTAAATAAAAGTAAATAGTCAGAAGAAAAGGTGCATGCATACTTTTTCATTTTCCTAAACCTTAAATACAAGAAAAAGTAAGATTTTTCCCCAAAAAATATAACATTCATGCAATCAAACACCTGTTAAGCAACATGTGTACAAAGTAGAACTAAATCAAGGGGCCGAACGTATAGCGGTGCGATTTTTTTTAAACGAGATGAAATCGTGCAATACGAATTATGGCTGATTTTGAATATAAACGCACGCCAGAGTTAGTATATTTTATGAAAATTTAACAGTCATTGACTATAAAATTTGCAAATGTTGTGTGGAGGATGTGGGGCTTTTGACACAGGAAAGTACACCTCATGTAGTTTCAGGGCTATGTCCTTGGACAAAGTTCAAAGTGCAATGATTCCAGAATAAGGCAAGGCAGAGTAACTGTTCTTTACACTGGATTTCTAATAAATGAGATATATCTACCTACAAAGTTTCTTGTTGATACCTATTATGGTTTCTGAGTTATGTCCCTAAAAAAGGTTTAAAATGTAAAAATGATCAAAGGGCAATTACTCCAAAATAAGGCAAGGTATAGTTATGTTTCTTGTGCACTGCATATCTGCCTATTGAGATTTATCTACCTACAAAGTTTCATGTTGAAATCTCTTATAATTATAGAGTTTTGTCTTAGACAAGATTTTTTAAAAGGGGTGATTATTCAATTAGAGGGCTAATCAGAGTTATGAAATCTTTTGTAATGCACTTCTACTTAATAATATCAAACGACCTGCAAAGTTTCATGTTGATATCTTGGATAATTTAAGAGAATATAAGTTCAAAGTAAAAATAATTAAAGGGCAATAACTTAAAAATTTGGCAAAGCAGAGTAACGGTTCTTATGCAATGCACATCTTCTCATTGAGATCTATCTACCTACAAAGTTTCATACTGATATCTCTTATAATCATCGAGTTATGTATTTCTAAAAGGGGAGATAATTCAAAAACGGGGTTGAGCAGATTAATTGTTCTTTTGAAATGCACTTCTACTATATGAGATCTATCTACCTACAAAGTTTCATGTTGATTTCTATTCTTATTTTAGAGTTATACTCTGGAAAAAGTCAAACTGTAACACGGGCAACATTGTCGCAATATACGCCCGTCACAGAGATGTGGGCATTACAGATATGCATATAGGAGATATGCTCTAGGCAATATCTGGAAAATATCTGGATACATTATCATGGCTAGTGTTTATTTATCTGAAGGTTGACCCAAATGTTGACCTTCACCTTAGCCGCATGGACCTAAATTTAATATGTGACATTGACCTTAGCCGCATGGACCTCAATTTTGCGCGCAACACCTTCAATGCATGTAGAAGTTTTGCTCCGGACAAGCGTTTTTAATGACCTCTAAGTGTGACTTTGACCATTGACCTAGAGACGTGGTTCATGCACGGGAAACAGCTTCTCATAGTTTCATAACAATCTCTCGGTATGTGTAGGACATATGCTCTGGACAAAATCTTTATATTTTATCATCAGTCTTTAGTTACCTTCACAATCATCTTTAGTGACATTGACCTTGCATATATTACCCTAAATTACTGTTTCACACCAATAGTCATGATAATGACCATTTGTGTTTCATTCTTTCAATAAATGATGACTAAATGGTCCCAATACACATTTTCATATTTTTATCTGAACTTTGACACCTATGACCTTGACCTTGGCCGCAGGGACATAAATGTTGCGGGCGAAATTTTGCTTTACAATAGTGAAAATTTTTGCCAAGTTATATTGAAATCCCTTTATGTTTGGAGTAGTTTTGCTCCGGACAAGCATTTTTCTATGACCTCTAAGTGCGACCTTGACCTTTGACCCAGAGGTCTAGTTCATGCGTGTGACACTGCTTTTCATAGTGATGAACATGTCTATGAAGTTTCATAAGAATCCTTTTATATGTGTAT